TCTCTTAAGTAATTTTTATAAATAGCACATCAGACTTACAGTGAAGCTTGCATTCTCTTAAGTGCCCTCAAACTGTACAGAAACTTTGGCTGAAAAATAACACTCTGTAATCAATTATATATCTTAAAGTAGAATAGTAAAATTGATCTGTTACTGTGATATATAATGCTCTCTTCTATATCCAAATACACAAAATGATGAATATTCATAATTATTGCTTTTATCCTTGTAAATATTTCCATCTTATTGTTTTGTTTTGTTTTTGGTTTGTTTGTTTGTTTGTTTTTCAAGATAGGGTTTCTCTGTAGCTTTGGAGCCTATCCTGGAACTCACTCTGTAGACCAGGCTAGCCTTGAACTCACAGAGATCCTCCTGTCTCTGCCTCCTATGTACTAGGATTAAAGGTATGCACCACCACTGCCCATCAACATTTCCATCTTAATATCCTACTTTCTCGGGGTTGTAACTTTCTCACATACTGTGGTGTTAGAAAAAAAAATGCCCTCCAAAAGGATTGGCACTATTAGGATGTGTGGCTTTATTGGAGTAGGTATAGCCTTGTTGGAGGAAGTATGTCACTTGTGGAGGTGGGATTTCAGATCTCATATATGCTCAAGCCACACCTAGTGTCTCAGACCACTTCCTGTTGCCTATGAGTCAAGATGTAAGAACTTTCAGCTCCTTCTCTAGCACCATGTTTACCTGCATGCTGCCCTGCTTCTTGCCATAACAATATGAACTAAATTTCTGAACTGTAAACAAGCTGCCTCAATTAAATGTTTTCCTTTATTGAGAGTTGCCATGGTCATAGTGTCTCTTCACAGCAATAGAAACCTAACTAAGACACATACTAATGAAACATTATACCATATAATTTTGATGATTCCCCTCTTGTACTTTTTAGAGCTTCCTTTTCAGTTCAGTAAAATTCTTCATGATGGGAGAATAATGGTTAAAATGTACTGGACTTTCAGAACATGACTCTGCCCTATCCTTCTACTTATCTGATTATTTATCCTTAGTCTCTGGATAATTCCTTCACATTATTTCCCCAGTCTTTGGTGCTAGGCCTCTTCTCATGTGTACCCTCTCCCTTGGTAATCTAATATTTGTCTTTAAGTAACATCTATATGTGGATAGCATTCACATTTCTATCTCTAGCCTACCTTGTATAATTCATTTATCCAACTTCCCACTCAGAATCCCCATTTACATGCATAGTAAGTGTAATAAACTTGTGTTTTTTTAAAAAAGATGTATGTATTTATTATATATACAATGTTCTGCATGTATGATTGCACACCAGAAGAGGGCACCAGATCTCATTACAGATGGCAGTTAGCAACCATATGGTTGCTGGGAATTGAACTCAGGACTTCTGGAAGAGTAGTCAGTGCTCTCTTAACCTCTGAGCCCATCTCTCCAGCCCCTAAACTTGTGGTTGTGATGGTTAGTTTTAATTGTAACACACTCTAGAATCACCTGGGAAAAGGGTCTCAAGGAAGGAGTGTCTGTGTGACACAGGACAATCAAAAAAAAAAAAAAAAAAAATGGATCACTCCAAGATACAATTCAGGCTCTGTGGCAGCAGGGAGGAACAGTTTTGAGGAACAGCCATACAAAGGTGTATTTATTGATGGTCACACAAAAGATTTTTTTTTTTTTTAGGTAAAGCAAGTTCCTCATACCAAAGCCCCTGATCTAATCTGTATGTTTTATAAAGAAAAACATCACACTCCTGCAACTTTAGCCTTTTCTGTGTACTGTGGGAAGTACCCCATAATGCAAAACACTCCAGGTGTGCCAGAACTATCTTGAGACCAAAGTAAGGCTCTAAAGCTCCTTCAGAAAAACAACTCTATAAATCTCAAAAAAAAAAAAAAATCCACTGTTTTCTACAATGATTTCTTCAAGGTCTAATTACTTCTAGAAAACAACTGTTCTGAAGTTTACCCTATAGTGGAAAAAAAATTATTTCATTCTAATGTTTTTACCCTAGATTTGATTATTCTACTAACTTTTCCTCTACACAGGAGTATCTAGATCAGGTTGGCATGTGGACAATCTGTAGAAGATTGTCTGGACTATATTCATTGAAGTGGGAAGCATTGTGGATGGCACCATTCCTTGGGTTTGAGTCCTCTCCTCTATAAGAATAGAGAAAGTCAACTGAGCATTAGTCAGTGTACATTCATTCATTCATTCTTTTTCTCCACTCTTAACTGTGAATGTGACTCAGTGCTTCGAGTTCCTGCCTTGACTTTCTCACAGTGATAGATTGTAACCTGGAAGTGCAAGCTGAATAAACCCATTTCCCTTCAAGTGGCTTCTGTCAGGGTATTTTATCATAGTAATGGGAAACAAAACTAGAACAGAAATTAGTATAGAGAGGGTGTTGTTGCTGTGATAAACTTGGCATGTAGCTTTTAAGCCTTTTAGGGTTATTTTTTCTTTTAACACATTCTCTCTCTCTCATTCTGTGTGTGTGTGTGTGTGTGTGTGTGACAGTGTGCATGTGGAGAACAGAAAACAATTTTGAGAGTCGCTTCTCTCTTTTCACAGTGTGGATTTCCAGGAACTGAACTCAGGTTGTCAGGCTTGGCAGGAAAAGTGCTTTACTGGCAAAGCCATTGCACCTGTCCTGGAATTGCTTTTTTTGTGCAAAGAATGTGGAGCCATGTGTTTCTTTAGGCTAAAAAAGCTACCAAATGATGTACGCAGAGTTTAATGGGCCACTTTTGTGCTCGGAAAAAAGAATATTGAGAAAAATGAAGATAGTAGAGACCCAGCTCAAAGGTTTCAGATGGAAACAAGAACTCTATTAGAAACTAGGATAATGACCATCCATAGGGATATTCATTCTGCATAGATACAATAATTAAACAAGAGTAGAAACATGTATACAGTATAACAAATTTAACCATAAATTTGTATCATTATATAAAAATACATACTAATGTAAAATATTTGAGATTAGTAGCAACTACTAATGGGCAGCGTGTTTCAAAATTGCTTTCTGTTGTCTGGGGGCAATGGCATCTTTAGGGAACCAGAAAAATGAGATAATGACACATCCTGGAAGAGCTAGCTGTTCTCTAATCTTGGTGTAATGGGAAAGTGCACAGCTTATCTGAAGTCCTAACTGGAGTAATCTCTGAGGCTGAATCATCTTAGCTAACCACTTGAACTAGTCTTGAGCAGTTTGTTGTCCAAAAGCTGATCTTTGGGTGGTGTTTGTCAGCTTAGTGGAGTTACCACAATCCAGGCAGAATAGGCATTGTAGGGCCCCACAATCTTCTTGAAGACCTCAAAGGTCACTGCTAGGAATAGTCACAGTTTACTGCAGAAAATTTAAACATTTTAATGTCATATGCAGGAGATCTTAGAGAGGTTAAAGGACCACAATTTGTTAAGTACATCTGGAATACACAAACTTAGTTCCTATTTACCTGCTTCAGACTCACACCCAAAACTACATACAGGAAGCTAGATGAAATCTATTTCTCTATATGACCAATAATATCATGACAGAAAATTTAAATATATATAATAATCTTATAAATTTTGAGATAACACTAATTACCTTAAGAAAAGTTGTAAAGAGTTCAAATAAAACCAAACAATTATGAGATTAGTGGAAATAAAATAGTCCCTTAATTTTGTTTTTACTTCTGCCCTGTATAATTTGCTCTTCTGATATGAGATTTGGCGTTTTTCTTTTAACAACCATGCTTTGGTTTAGAGAAGGAGAGAGCCATACTCCAACTCCAAAGCCAGCTTTAATTTTTTATTGAATTGGAACTGCATAAAGACTATTTGCCTTATATGTCTGTAAAGGACAGCAGAAACAATCATTTGGGAAGATTTCTGAAATTTCTGCATATTGAGAGTCAGTAACTTTATTAAGAGGGACTTGAAAATCTAATAATGCCATGAAAATATCATACAATTCTGAGTTTTGAACAGAATCATAAGAGCTTTGAGCCACTTTATTTCTCCTGACTTATAACCTTTCCAGATTTATTTGCATCAGCATAGAATGTAGAGGCACCAGAAATTGGTGTTCCTAGTACAATATGAGGAAGGATCCAATTAGTTTCTTTTCATGAATTGAAGTCTCTTTCTTTTGACATATTTTTGGACAAAAGGATTATTTCACAACAGGAATGTCACCACCCATAGTGGACTAGGTCGTCCTATATAAATTAGCAATTGCAAAATGCCCACAATGGGGGTTGGAGAGATGGCTCGGCAGTTAAGAGCACTTGATGTTCTTGCACAGGACTGGGTTCAGTTCTCAGCAGTCACATGGTGACTGTTTATAATGCCAGTTATAGGGGATCCAGTGCCTTCTTCTGGACACCATGTGCATCTGCATTCATATGTACATGCCCCTACCAGACAGACAGACAGACCACACACACACAATTTAAAAATAATAAAAATAAATCTTAAGGACTATCAAGATGGCTCAGTGGTTAAGAGCACTTGGATTCAATCCCCAGGACCACAACTCCAGTTCTAGGGGATCTGATGCCCTCTTCTGGCCTTTCTCAGGTGCTGCATACACAAGGTGCTCAGATGTATAGGCAGACAAAACACTCATGCACATAAAAAATAAAAATAGATGAAACTTTAAAAATAATATTAAATTAAAATCAATCAGTCTTAAAAAAGAAAGAAATTTTCCCACAGGTATGCCCACAAAACAATCCAATGGAGGCAATTCCTCAGTTGAGATTTCATCTTCCCAGGTGTGTCAAGTTGATAACTAAAGCTAACTATGACACAAACAAGGATCAAAGAAAGAAAAGAACAATCAGCATATGTTATAGTCTGTGTGGACTCTTCCCACACATTTTCATCTGAGGCATACATGGTGGTATCCAATTCTTGACAGATAGGGAAACAGTTGTTCAAGGATTGCTCATCTGTGAGTTGTAGGGTGGGAACTAAAATGCCAGCATGTCCCACGCAGCTTCTTTTTGTTCACTGCCTAGATGGCTGACTCTGATCCTGGGGAAAGAAACTATGATAACATGCTGAAAATGCTGTCCGACCTGAATAAGGACCTGGAAAAGCTATTGGAAGAGATGGAAAAAATCTCAGGTAGGATGTTTTCCAAACAGGATGCCTTCTTCTTTCCAGTGGTTTCCTTGTTCCCTAAGCATACAAACCTTTATCAAATGCTTTCCCTAACATGGGCTTCCCTAACATCCTTCCAACTTTGTATCTTGTAACTACTGCAACACAAAATTTAAGTTACAGCAATTGACTCTTGAGTTATTTGGTTCTCTTCCATGTGATTACCTTTTACCATCAGACTGTTATCTTGAGGGTAGAATTCTAGGAATGTAATTGTCATAGTACCAGGTACTAACTCACATGTGCACCAAAGGCAAGCAAGGGTCATCATTACACTAATGATCAGAAGTTGAACAGACTTTCTGTGAACTATTAAGAAGAAAGGTTTGGAATGATCATGATAAGACTAGTGGACTACTGAAAATGGGAGGCACAGCACCATGGAATAAAGAGGCAGCAGGATGGATATATTTATTCATTCTTGGGAAGGAATATTATATTGTTATTTTACTCAACATGTTTCCATGAAGCAGTAGAAGCCACATTATAATTTCATATGTTCTTAATTCAAAATATATATTCTAGAGGCAGACAGATTTCTGAGTTCTAGGTCAACCTAGTCTAGTCTACAAAGTGAGTTCGAAGACAGCCTGGACTACATGGAGAAATTCAGTCTCAAAACAAAATAAAAAACTTTAAAAAATACATATAGCCAGGTGGTGGTGGTGCACACCTTTAATCCCAGCACTCAGGAGGCAGAGGCAGGTGGATCTCTGTGATCTCAAGACCAGCCTGATCTACAGAGCAAGTTACATGACAGCCAGGGCTATACAAAAAAAAAAAACCCTGTCTCAAAAAAATAAAAACAAAAAACAAACCACAAAATATTTGTAATCTGTGAGCCCAAATTTTCTGTGGAAAATGATGGGGGGGTGCTTTACAGGACATACATACTTTACTCAAATAAAAACAGTTTTGAAGCAAGCAAGATGCTGAGTGCATGTAAAGGCACTGTGGCTGAGCCTGACAACCTGAGTGCAACCCCTGAAGCCCTCACAGCAAGGACAGAATTGACTCCTACAAGCTTCTACCTCTGACCTCCACACATGCACTATGAACATGTGCACACCAACACACACACACACACACACACACACACACACACACACAATTTTAAAAAACAATTTTAAGTAAATTATTCATAACAGGTTGTAAAAATTTCTGCTCAGAAATGCAGGGTATTTTTTTCCTGTATATTTGCATACATACATACATGTATATGCAAGTTTTAAATACATTTTAGTTATCCTTTTCTAGGAGGTCCATAATTCATTTTCTACTACAAATATCACTCCTTCAAACCTGTCACACACCTGTAACAGCAGCACTCAGGTGGACCATGGCAGCAGTGGACATGGCACTGCAGCAGTAGCTAAGAACTTGTAACTTAAAACACAACCACCAGGAGGAAAGAGCTAGCTGGAAATGGCAAGGACTTCTGAGACCTCAAAGCCCACCCCCAGCACCATATCCTCCAGCAGCCACACTCCCTGATTCCTCCCAAACAGGTCTGCCAACAGGGAATTAATTATTCAAATAGGTGAGCCTATGGGAGCCAGTCTCAGTCAAACCACCACACCCGTTATTTTAAAATTTTGTGTTACTCTTGAAGGTGTGTGTGTGTGTGTGTGTGTAGATAGTTGTGTAGATATATGTGCACACATATAGAGGTCAGAGAGCAATGACATGTGTCCTCCTGGGTCACTCTCCACCTTATTTTTTGATACAGACTCTCTTTAAACCTGAAGTGTGTTGATTCAGCTTGACTAGCTGACTGCCAAGCCCTAGGAATCCTCCTGCCTCCACACCCCAGAGCTAGGATTATAGGCATGCACTTCCATGCCCAGCTTCTTACATGACTATTGAGGATCAAAATTGGTTCCTTGTATTTATTTACTCAGGGAAGCACTTTCCCAGCACTATCTCCCCAGGCCTCAGACCCCTTTGAAGAGAGGAGAGGGCCTCACTATGTAGCCCAGGCTAGCCTAGAACTCACTTTGTAGGTTAGGCTGTCTTCCAACTCACACTGTATATTAGGCTGGCTTCCAGTTCATGAAGATGCTTACACCTCTGCTTCCCGAGTGCTGGTATTAAAGGCACGTGTCACCACACCAGGCCACATGAAGTTTTTTTTTGTAGCTTATAAGACTCTGTTATATATGTCAGGGTTTTGGGTTTGGGGTTTTTGTTTATTTGGTTGGTTGGTTTGTTTGTTGTTTGGTGGGGTTTTTTTTTTTTTTTTTTTTTTTGTGTTATTGTTGTTGTTGTTTGGTTTTTCAAGACAGGATTTCTCTGTGTAGCTTTGGAACCTGTCCTAGAACTCATTCTGTAGACCAGGTATATGTCAGGTTTTAAAGAGTACAGTGTCACACAGCTGTTGTTGCTGTTGTTGTCATCACCATCATTACCATTCAGGAAGTCCCCTCCTCAGATCTCTTTTGTATTTTATGCTCTGGGCTTTCCTCGTGTGTTTGCTCTTCCAAGGGAGTAACAGATCCGTTTACTTAATACTCTGTTTGGGCTTGTGTTGAAACTGAATGTCATGGCATTTGTTAGATCTTTGTTTTCCAGGGCGGGGGTTGAGCCCAGCTTCATATGTGAAGTAAATACAATGTCCTAAACTCCTTCAAACCACACATTACTGAGAGACAATGATGTTTTGTTTGGCTTTGCATAACAAGTCTCATTCTTTAGCTCAGGTAGGCCCGGAGTTTTCTGTGTAGCCCAAGCTGGGCTCTTAATTCCTAGTAATCCTCCTGCCTTAGCCTCCCAAGTACTGGGATTACATGCATGAGCCACCACACCTGGCTAGAAAAGTGATATTATTTTAACAGGAAGTATTCTCATTCTAGAGAGGTGACACTTCAGGTTGTTCAGGTCTCATTAAGGACTCAGCTTTGCAATATTTTCTAGATTTCTGTCTTTTTCCTTTTTCCTTTTTTGTTTGTTTATTCATTAATTTGAGACAAGATCTCTCTACATACATAGCTTTTGTTGTTTTGGGATTCACTGTATAGACCAGGCTGGCCTCTGAACTCACAGAGATCTGCCTGACTCTGCCTCCCAAGTTCTGGGATCAAAGGCATGAACCACCACACCTGGCTTCTATGAATGCACTTTTGGGGTTTTATTGGAAATATCCTATGAGAAATAGATATTTTGGAACTAAGGAGATGGTTTGGTGGTTAAGAGCACTGGCTGCTCTTCCAGAAGACCTGGGTTCAATTTCCAGCAACCACATGGCAGCTCACAACTGCCTGAAACTCCATTTCCAGAGGTCTGACACCCTCATAGACATATATACAGGCAAAAAATTAAAACTAAAATGTAAACAAATAAATAAATAAAAAGGAAGAAGACATGAATACCCCCCCTTTATTTGCTAACTAATAATAGACCACAGAAAGGTAGCAAGGTCTGGCTATTTAGTACCCTTATATGTTATTGGTAGTGATAACAGCTTATGTTTATTATATACCACATTGATATCTTTTCCATATGCTTTAAATACAATATCTCATCTACTTCTTTTAACAAGTTTAGGGTGAGTATATACCATTATTATCCCCATTTATGGATACCGCAACTTAGTGGTGGAATGTGATTACCATGTGCATTGTCAGTGCCCTGGGTTTATTCTCCAACACTAACTACTTCTTTTCACCTCCTGAAAAAGAAAAAAGAAAAGAATGGAGATAAATCCTAATAAACAGATCACTAGGTATATTTTTGCCTTCTAAATTATTTCTTGTACTGATGTTACTTAATCATCTGCCTCTACCTAACAAAGCTCCCTGCTCTATCAGTTTTCAGTAAGACTGTCCTCACCTCTCTAAGTTTTTATTGTCAATCCTGGAACCACTGCACTTCAAGAACATTTGCCCATTCTGTCTTCAAAATCATCACAACTTCCCTACTTACTGTCCTTTTCCAAAATTACCCCAGTGGTTTAGGGTTTTGCTGTGGAAGCCTCATATTCTCAACACCCAAATCAGTATCTGCTATCTATTGCTGCATAACCAATCCAAGAGGCTGGACACCAATGTTATGGGTAATAAATCGGAACTCAGCATAACTGGCCAGTTCTCCTAAGATCCCAGTCACAATATCAACCACGGCTTCAGTCTCTGAACTCTTGACTGGGCACTGGGAAATCCACTTCCAGACTCACATAGTTGCTGACAAGAGATTTTGTTTCCCCTTCTTTTTCTTCCTTTCTTTTGATGGTGGTGGTATTAGAACCCTGGGAACACTAGTCAAGTAGGCTTCCCCTGAGCTATAGTCTTGGTGGAGGCTTCTCTATGTGGTCTCTCCATAGAGCTGGTCTTAACTTTGTCTGCTATTTCTTTGTTACAGCATGTGCTGTTTACTTCCTTCTCAGCATGTTTCATAATCTCTAATGCCTTGTATGCTGATTATCTGTCTTCTCCCCCTGCCACTTACCATGGACTCTCTGGGAACACAGATGTACCCTGTCCACTGCTCCGCAAATGGCAGCACAGAGTTTTTCTGGAGAATCTTCTAATTAGCTCTTCCTATTCTATATATTAATTTCCCTTGGATCAGAAGACAAGAGGGCTATGCAAACAACAGAGTGCCTTGCTGTCTGATTGTTTTGTCCTTCCTAACAGTGCTTTGACACATACTGCCAGCTAATCTTTGTCAGTGATTTTAACTACATGAAGGGGCCTCCCTGTATTTAAAATATAGATGTCATCAAAGTTATCTGCAACTGCAGAATGTTGTTGTTTATTCTCTCTCTCCTCTCTCTCTCTCTCTCTCTCTCTCTCTCTCTCTCTCTCTCTCTCTCTCTGGCTCTTACTCTTCGGGAACCCACCACCCAGGTCCTAAATAAAGCACACATAGAGGCTTGTTCTTTCTTATAAATGCCAGCCTTAGCTTGGCTTATTTCTAGCCAGCTTTATTTAACTTAAATTATCCTGTCTATTTTTTGCCTCTGCTTTTATCTTTATCTCTGTATACCTTTCTATACTTCTTATTCCATGTCTGGCTGGGTGACTGGCCCCTGATGTCCTCCTCCTTTTCTTGCTCCTCCATCCTCTCTTCCCAGATTTCTTCTATTCTCTCTGCCTGCCAGCCCTGCCTATCCTTTTTCCTGCCACACGATTGGCCATCCAGCTCTTCATAGACCATCAGGTGTTTTAGATAGGCACTGTAACACAGCTTCACAGACATAAAAGAATTCAACATATATCATTAAGCAAATGTTCCACAGCATAAACAAGTGTAACATATCTTTAACTAATATTTTACAACAGCAGAATGCTTTTTCTTAACTTTTATTGTAAATATATTTATGTGTGTGGTTGTTTTGCCTTGGTCATGGTGTCTCCTCATAGCAATGGAGGTGACTAAGACTGACAGAGGGCTGTACTCCTCAGCTCCAGCATTGAGGTGTGTTCAAGAGCATGTTTGTCTCTCTCTTATGGGCACTGGCCTTAAAAAAGAAGTTTTTCTTTCTTTCTCTGCTTTGGCCTAGGAAGCTCAGAGGAGTTAGAATTCTAGGTGCTATGGGGTACTTCATGAGGTTTATTTCTTTGGGCTACTTTTGTCCCTGAGTACCTAAATTGTTTATTTTATAGTAAAAGTTTCTAATTCTAAGCAATGCTCCTAATCTGGGTATCCAGTTTCATTACTCACAATTCTATATCACACCAAATATTGAGTATGAACACAATCCAGCCTAGTTCTTTGATGGTTATGATAAAGGTCAATTTTCTTCTAATTCCCAATAACTTATCCATTTCCATCTGAGGTGTTATCAGAATGGTTTAAACATTCTGTCCAGGATTACATATATTCTCTATGAAGTCAGAGGATTTCTCTCCAAATTCCTCTTTTCTTCCTGAGTCAGAATTGCTTGTTTGTTTGTTTGTTTGTTTGTTTGTTTTTGAGACATGGTTTCTCTGTAGCTTTGGAGCCTGTACTGGAACTTGCTCTGTAGACCAGGCTGGCCTCCAACTCACAGAGAGCCACCTGTCTCTGTCTCCCACATGCTGGGATTAAAGGCATGCACCACCAGAATTACTTTTAAAACTCCATCCATGGCAATACTGTATCATGTACTTCTGTTATATGTTTCAGAACTCTACCCACCACCAAAGCTGCTCCCAATCTTTCAAGTGTTGTTACAGCAACACTCTCCTGGTTGGTACCAGTTTTTGACTAATCATCCAGAGTTACTATAATAAATGGCCACAAACAAGGTAGCTTTAAAAATAAATTTATTTCTCATGGTTGGTCTGAGTCTGGGAAATCCAAGATCAAGGTGCCAGCGAGTTTTCTGGTGAAAAGTCCCTTCCATGTATGAACAGCCATCAACCCTCTCATCATGTCCTCACATGGCCAACCGCAAGTGCTGTGTCTCTTTTATAAAGACACCAACCCAGGAGCCGTGAGGGCTCTACCTTTATTACTGCACATCTCCTGGATGCCCATCACCTAACGCCATTAACTCAGGACCATATTTCAGAGCATAAATGTAGAGGTATGCATAATTCAGTCTATAACATATGCTAAGTGGTTCCTGTAGTATCTGTTAGATTCTCAGCAGAAGCTATTAGATCGTCTCTATTTTGTGAATGAAGAGACTGAGTTAGCAAATTTGCTTCCTTGTTTAAGGTCACATAGCTGGCAGGTAAAGAGATGGGAAGCAGACTCTGCTCTGGCTTCCAGTTCATATGTCATCTGCTGCCAGGGGTTTGTGCTAGAATGATCCCCAACCTGCTAGACAAAAACTGTGTTGCAGAATGGGCCAATGGTCTGCATTGTAAGAAGTGTCACAAGTGACACTCCTAATTCAAAAGTTAAAGACTCTGTATGCTAGCAATAGAGTCATATGAATTCTGTTGAGACATTGTAATTTTCCATAGCTAAATATATGCTTCTCTCCACTACTTTGAGTCTGTGATGAAGTGATGTTGCTTTCATATATGTACAGATGCACATCTGGCACTGATCAATTTCTGTGTAGATATCATTTCCCAAAGTGCCCAATACTTTTCCTGCTAGTAGAGGAATTTTAATGGAACATGTCTTCCATGCTCAGTTGTCAGAGAGGCACACCATGTTCCATACAGTTCTACAGGAAAGAGCTGCACCAGAAGTGAGTGCTGGAGAATGGGTTCTGCACACACTTCCAGAGTCCACACAAGAAGCACGTGCTCCCTTAGGAGGTCCAGCTGTCTTCCAGTTGTTCTGAGGAAGAGCAGAGGTGCATGTCTGTGTGATGGTGAATGCTCAAGGGTGCCTAACAGTGAAGCAACCTACCCTCTCCAGAAAAAGGCATGCTCTGTGCCTTACTGGTATCAGGGACAGCTAGATAGATATCTCAGGTCACTGAGAATAAGAAAACACATCATTTGGGTCTTGTGGGTTTAGAAATGTTTGAATTACCTTGAGCATGTAAGCTTGTGTGAAAATGAGGACTTCTTAAGAGTCACCATGCAAACCACTTACTATACAAGTAAGGGTCCATGTTTGCTCTAATTTTCCTCCCATCCCACATCAGATCAGCCTCCAGCTTGTTATTGTCATAGGCTTAAGTACCGAGAAGTTAAGACTTTTAGGATATTAGCTGGTATTATTGCTACTGTAGGAAGAAGCTTTATAAGGGGTTTATAGCACCCTATAAGCTTTCTCTTCTTGGGAGACTCAGTGTCCCCCAGGGTCTGGCCCTAAAGCTGAGCATAGTGGCTCACCATAGCTTCAGCACCTGTCACCTGACTGGGCCTGTTTGGTTGTTCTAGTGCAGGCAACCTGGATGGCCTACGATATGGTGGTCATGCGTACCAACCCCACACTAGCAGAGTCCATGCGCCGGCTGGAGGACGCCTTCCTCAACTGCAAAGAGGAGATGGAGAAGAACTGGCAAGAGCTACTCACTGAGACTAAACACAAGCAGTAAGCCACCATCTGTCACCAGCCTAAGTGCAGAAGCCAGGGGCATGGGTCCAAAGGCCCAGGTGTGTAGCTATGTGCATGGTACTTGTTTCTCAATAAACTTATTTTCAAGCAAACCCAAGGACTCCTTTCTGACTTACACAGTGATTGACACAACAAAGAATGACAAGTGTGTGAGGAAGATGCTTTCAGTGTGCCAAACACCTACTGGTATCAGTTGTACCAAGCGTAGAACAAAAAGGAGGGGTGAGATTGCAGACACAGGCACTGGCCACTCAAGACCAAGTCCAGTCCCTAGGGCCACATAAAGGGACAAGGAGAAAAGCAAGTCCACAAAGTCGTTCTCTAAATACTTCACCTGTACCAAGGCACATGCATTTTCCTCACAACAATAATAAATGACTTTGTTTAAAATATTTTATTTTTATGTGTGTGGGTGTTTTGACTTGCATGTAGGTTTGTATTATACCATATGTATTCATTCAGTGCCCACAAAGACCAGAAGAGGGTGTCAGATCTCTGGGAATGAAGTTACCAACAATTGTGAGCCACTATGGATTCTAGAACTCAAATCTGGGCCCTCTGGAAGAGTAACCAGTGCTCTTAACCATGAGTCATCTCTCCAGCCTCTAAGTTTCTTTTCCTTTTCTTTCTTTCTTTCTTTTTTTTTTTTTTTTTTTTTTTTTAATGCAGAAAATGGTTCGGTTGGGACAAACCAGGTTGCAGGCCAGGACAAGCAGGAGTACTCAGACCTATCCCCCTGCCTACAGTGGGCTTCAGTGGGTGAGAGAAGGAGGCATGTAATTTCCAATGAGGTTTGCTCAGGCACCAGGCCAGGGGATCCTGTCTCCATGGACTTCCTGAATGACAGGTGTCCAGAGAAATATTAAATGCCTCTTCTGGTTCACACAGGTAACAACAGGTATAAAGTAAAACCAGGGCTCATCTAGAGAACTTGAAAGAAGTGCATGGGGGTTCAGAGAGTTTGAGAGAGGCTCAAGAGGTACCAAACAGTCCTGACCCAATCTGCTGGGACTGTGGGCAGCAGAGTGATTACTCAATCAAGGGATAAGATACTCAAGTGCCATTCATGCCCAGACTCGTTTTGTTGTTGTTATTTTTATTTTTGTTTTGAGACAGGGTTCCTCTGTGTAGCTTTGGCTGTCCTGGAGCTCACTCTGTAGTCCAGGCTGGCCTCCAACTCACAGAGATCCTCTGCCTCCTGAGTACTTGGGGCTAAGGTGTGTACAACCACCAGTCAGACCCAGGTTCCTATGAAGCCTCAGGATAGCAAAAATCCCAGAGTGGGGATGTTTCCTGAGGAACTCTTTGTCATTTTCCATCTTGGGAGAACATAGGAAGCTCAAAGAGGTTTCCAGCAAGTACCAAAGGATTGCACAGACAGAGTTGTGATGAAGCCAAGACGTCCTAAGCAGGTAGGACCTGGTGCCAAAGCCAACAAGGAATAGAAGGAGCCTAGGGGGATTGAGGGAGCCAGAGCTTCAAGGGGGAGGAGAGTAAAGGGGACTGCATTTCAGAGATAATGAACAACCCTTAACTTGACAAAGGGGAGCTTAGGGCACAAGAATAGAAAGTTCTGCTCCTAGGCTTCTTCGCATGTCTCAGGTCCACCTAAACCACCCAGAAAAGGCTTTCTCTGGAGAGCACTAACAAGTTCTAGGGTTTGCTTCCCCCCACACACACTCAGAGTGTGGTCTGTAACCAGGTCTTGGGGGGCAAAGTCAGAGTGAATGGATAGAGGACCCCCTTGCTTCCCAGGGGAAAGGGCTGCAGCTCCTTGGCTTGGAACTGGGCAGTCCCCTCGGAAACTGTGAAGGTAGCTGTGACCTGATGGTTGAGACAGTAAATGGTTTTGCCCAATACTGTGCAGTGGAGTGGGGCAGGGTCAGGCAGTGGCAGGGAGGCAGCACGGCTCCAGGAGCCTGTCACTGTGTTATAGCGCATGACCGCAGCACCTACACCCCGCAACAAGTCAAAGCGGTATAGGAAGCCCCCTAGTGCCACCATATCACTGGAGCGTCGGTGGCTGGCACTATAGGGACACTCGTCCCATGAGTCATTCACTGGGCTGTATCTGAGCAGGCGATAAAAGAGATGCCCCCCTGTGACATAGATATCTCCTCGGCAGACCACAGCCTCATGGGCTACAGGGAAGGTGCCCTCGGGGAGGGATGCTCTCAAGGTCCAGGTATCTGTGCGTGGGTCATAGCGCTCCATGCTGTATAGGCACTCACCACCAATGGCATATAGCATCCCGTCCAGAGCCACCAACTTGAGCTGGGCCCGGGCTTGCTGCATGGGCCGGACCTGGCTCCAAATGTTGGTCAGAGGATTATAGCAGAACACCTTGTTAGAGCAGACAGCCTTGGCACCAGAGCCTCTGATACCACCTGCCAGAAACAGATAGTTATGCATGGTGCAAAGACCACATCCCCGGAGTGGGACCTCCTCTGGAACTTGAGTCAGGGGCCGCCAGACATTCTCTTGTGGGTTGAACACATGGAGATATGTGTGAAGATGCAAATGCTCAGGCCTGGTGGCAGGAGCCTCCTCCCCAAGAGGGCCTCTTGTGAGCCCTGAGTGGCTCACCTGATAAAGGCTGGGCAGCACAAGGACCCCCAGCACTGTCTGACCCTGGCAGGTCCGCAGGTTCAGGATCCGCTCCCTGTCAGCTCCACTCAGCTGTCGGTAGAGGTGTGGGTCTCCCAGAACATGTAGCAAGTTGTTGCTCATCAGAACATAGGTATCCTGGGCTAAGCCCAACTCTCCATGCTGCTGAGCAAAGGCCAAAACCTCCAAGCAGCTGCCAAGGTCTAGCTTTGGGGGCCACAGCGCTGTTGTGGTAGGTGATGAGACCTGTGAGCAGGACTTCTGAGGCCCCTCCACCACTCCCCAACTACCAGGCTTCTGCAGAAAAGCCATAAGCTTTTGTGCCTCTTTCTGCTTCTCTGTGAGGACTTCCCTGCCACCTGCAGGTCTGGATCCTTCCTTTAGCACCTGCTGCTGGGACTGCTGGGATACTTCATGAGTGAGTATCTGGTCTGAGCTCTGAGCTATGCTACGTTTCCTCCGTTGCCGAGGCTGAGGGATGGGCTGAACATCCTGCTTCATAGTAGATGGGACAGGACCAGGCTGTGCCAGTGCAGAGAACTGTGAGACAGCCTCAGGCTTTGCAGCTGGGGGCAGAGAGTCTAGACTTTTCTCCTTGGTTTCATCTCCTCTAGGGTCTAGAGCAGAAGACACATTCATCTCCACACTTGTTGGCTGTGTTTCACATCTATCCTCAGCTAGGCTCCCTGAACCCTCTGGTGTGACTGAGACTGACAATGGTCTATGTTTGTCCTGGAGGCTGGAGATGGCCCCTTCAGAGGGGGGACCTGGCTGTCTATCTTCTGATTGTGTGGATGTGCTGGGCCCAGCAGGACTCTGAGGATCTGCCCTTGGGGCACTGCCATCAGCCTTTTCTTGCCTGGGGAAGGGGTGGCTTCTGAGAACCATGGTAATAAGGTTTCCCCAGCTAGTTGAGATTCGTCCTTCCAGGGAGCTCTTGGAGAGGCCCACACTAGACTCCCTAGACACAGGCCTCAGCCCACTATCTACTGCAGGAGCCTGGGCTACAACTAGGGCAGAGGCTGGAGTTGGGGATGTTGCTAGGGATGGGGTTGGTGTTGAGATTGGGGTTAAGGCTGTAACTGGAGTTGGGGTTAAGGATGGGGCTGAGGTTGAGGTTGGGGGTGATACTGAAGATAAGGCTAGGATTGATCCTGGAGATGAAGTTGAGGCATCTGCTGGAGCTAAAGTTTGGGTTGGAAGGGAAGCTGGCCCTGCTTTGAGATTTTCACCACCAGAAGGACTCTGGCTAACTCCCAGGGGCAAATTGTTTAAAGGAGCAAGGGTAGAGACTGCATGTAGAAACCCAGGTCTGGAATGTACTGCCTTGGCAGAGGATGGAACCAACTCAGTGTCTTGAGTCAGAGAAGAGCCTGGAAGATTGTAGGAGTTGTTGCAGCTGAAGCCACCAGTGGACTTCATCACATCTGTGATAAGCGCAGCTATCTGCTCACTTTCCTCGCCTTGATGTGACCCTCTCCCTTTGCCAATGCGGTGGTCCTCTCCTAGTTTCCCCATCTTACTCTGGTCAGCAACACCAGCCCCAGGGCACAGTTCTTCTGACCAGGTACCTTGGGAGGGGCTGAAGTTGCTGGTCCCACTCTTCCTGGACCAGGCTCCCTCACCAGCCAGGATCCCCTGAGTCTCCCTAGGGCCAAGGGACTCTCTGCTCTCACCATCCTTAGTCCCTGAGCCTGCAGTGCTGGCCGGAGTGTGCTGAAGGCTGCTCCTCCCACACACGTCCTCGGGCTCCACCCGAGGTCGACTATCCACAGCATCAGCTAGGCCCATCTGCTCAGGACCCTTGAGCCCCCTGTCTGAGTGGAGTGCTGAGGGACCTGGAAGAGGACTGCTGGTGACAATGTCCTGGGTGGCCGCAGTTGCCATATCCACAGCATCCCACACACTCACCACAGTGCCTAGGCGGAGGGGGTCCAGCTTTAGAGGACGGCGGGGTCTGTCTCCCGAGCTGGCACCAGGCCTCCGACGGCGACGAAAGCTGCCTAGGCTTCTCCCCAGGGGCCCAGGAGGCCCTGCAGCCAGGTGCCAGGGGCTGGTGTCCTGTTGCTCTGTATGGACGGAGCCCAGCTGAGCTGCCCCACAGGTGCCAATTGCCTCCACCTGCATCTCTGTCTTGCTATTAGGACTTCGGGGGGTAAAGCGGATCGTGAGGGGGACAGGAATATCCCTCGCTTTTTGGTGGTCCTGGAAGGAAGTTTCTGGCTTGGATGGCTCCCTTCTTCTCTTTCCCAGGGTTGCTGGGGTAATCCCTCTGCTGGCCACCTCTCCAGGTGTCTTGAGCGAAAGACAGGCATCTGAAGCCATACTTCTGCCTCTTGATGGCTCTGGATCCTGGGCCCTCACTGTAGCTGGTCTTTTCTGGCCATCTCCAGGATCCTCTGATTTTTCTTGTCCTTTGCTCTGTCTCTCCTTGGCATCACTGTCCTTGGACTTCGGATGCAGGGCCAACCTGACTCCTCCTGCC